AGGGGCTATGGAGGCCGCGGGGGGGGCCACCGTCGCTACTAAACAAACCCCCTCCCTTCCGCCCACCTTCCCCTAAAATTTTATAATACTAAATGTGGAAGCAATTAATACAGTAATAATAACCTAAAGTTGAGGCGGATGAAAGTCCTTTAGATTTAATTGCCCTTACACCTTCATGACGAACAAATCTGTTGCTTCTTTATTATTGCTAAGAGGAGTTTATAAATATAAATAGTTATTTATAAACATACACAAAAAAAAAAAGTTATTACGGTTAATGCAAATACACACATAATATGAATGCTGTGTTCATGAAAGAGTAAAGTAGTTGTCCTAAAGTCTAATTTTCTGAATTTAAACGTTGAACATGCTTTAGTGTTCTAAGACGAAGCCAGCATACCTTTTATAGAAGCCATAGTTATGTCGAAACCCATGGCATACAGTTATAACCCTTCCTCCAGACGTGTTAAATAAATAAATACTATAAAAGAATTACTTTACACTTCTCCTTTATCTACCTTAAGAATTGTTACCAAAATGGATTTGGGGAAAAAATATAATCATGATGGGACGCTTGTCCGCCTATTTTTATTTTCCAAACTAAACGTTTTGGGATTTCTCCTCATTATTTCTTCTTGGTTGGTTTGGTTAGGTCTAAGGAAAAGGAATCTTTTATAATGGCTGGAAAATTCCGTGGTGACGTTGGAAAATTAACTAAACCGAAAAAAAACAGGGCATCCCTAAAGCTAAAGAAGAGCAAAGTGACTTTTCTGGTGAAGCGTAGCCCTAAACTCACGGACGATGTCCTGCATAACCGCCTAGCCGAGCTCACCAATGGTTCCGAGGAAATCAAGTCCTCCAAGGCCCCTGAGCCGTCAAAAGGGGTGCAGAAGAAACCCGTCGGGAAGGCCGCAATCGAGATTGTGGGCAAAACCAAGGAAAAGTTCGTCCCCGAGGAAGCGGTGGCGCCTCAGCGCACGACGGCGGAGGCGATTGGCCTCAAAATTCTACATCGCGCCGTCAAAAGTCAGGGCCATAATCGCCTTTTGCCGCATCAAAATCGCCATGATTTTGAATATCGCCTGCGCACGGTCGCGACGATGGGCGTTGTGCGGCTTTTTAACTCCCTCGCCCAGGCCCGCCGCGCGAGCTCGGCGATCGACACGGACTTGAAGTACCTCACCGCGGACAAACTAAACGAGCGAAAGCAAACCGTCTCCAAAGAAGCCTTTCTCGAAGCGCTTCGACAGTAAGCCGCGCACGCCTACACAAGACGGGAAAATGGCAATCACCATTCGTCGAGGAAGAGCGGCCTTGCGCTGGGTTGTGAGAGCGCTCATGGGTCTTTTACCATCCCCGGAATCGGGATCGTGGATGTTGTTTTTAATTGCGAGTAAAACTAATAATGCCCTTCAGGTTTTCGTTGGCCTAAAGGACGCAATGCGTTCGGTACGCCAACGCGAACTATTTCCTTTCCGGCACACGACCTGCCCTTCACTTTTCAACAAATGAACTCCCCAAACACCTAAAACCCAATTGGTCCCTTTCACCTGCGCACTTCCCCTTGCATTTCTTTCTATCTTTGCATGCCCTTAGGAATATACCCAAGCGAAGGAGGCGTCATCCCCATCCCATAAAAAGCGGTAGAAAAAAAAAAGTAAAAAGTCTTGTCCTCTTCGTGCGCCGTCTGGGTACTCTCTTGTGCGGTGCGGACAACACTGATCCTCCCCCCCTCCCCTCCCGGATTCCCTCTTTAATAGTATTATTATTATTAATAT